CAGCAAAAGAAACAGGAAAATAAGATGCTTTTGTATTTACTATAGTACAAAAAAAATCATTCAACTTATTTATTTATCGGTTTAAAAATATTTATGTGTTTTTTCGTTTGTTTATACATCCTCAAATTATATTTATTAATTATTATCAAACGCTAGAATTTTTCAGAATATGATTAAATAATTGATTACGACATCTTACAACCATTAAAAATAATGCTATGAATATATTTTTTTGTGAGTATTAAAAAAAAATTATTTAGTTTTTATCTTGAATCAAACATCACTTTTTCGTTTGTAATACTAATGTAAAAATGATATTTTTGTAAGAACATTTCTTATAGCGATTTACATTTACAAACCATTTTATTGATTTTTCTTTCTTTTTTTTTCTACAATCGTTTCATTTTGTTATTAACTTATGGCGTATGAATCGATAATTCGAATAATATTTTTAATTTTTAATCATCTAAAAACATTGTCCATTCTAGCATATTTTTCTGTTTAACGATTCTTTCGGAAAATTTTAAATTTTCACGATTTAATCTCGTAATTTTTAATTTATTTGCTTCAAGTTTTTAATAATATAATTATAAATAAATACCTACACGAGTTTAGAAATATATAACAGAAATATATATTTGCAAAAGGGATGAGGAAATATGATGGAGTTGATATCGCTTTCCATTGAAAAATGGAACGAAGGCGCTGCAAATATATAAAATTATAAAAAATACGTATAGTGTATTTGCATAAAATCTCGACGATAGAATACACGGAAGATGCGTAAATAGCGCAAAAGCTATGTTTTGGAAAGAAACATATAAACAAACCTTATCTATAACCCAATGAACTCTGACCTTTTGCCTCCTCAGTGTTAATTCTCCGGACCGAAACAGATCGATAGAGGACAACACAACAGTTCCTCTCTCCAGACGGTGCTGTCTCAGCGATGCACATACACGTTTGCTACAAAGACTACACACCTTTACAGGTGCATGTACAGGTGTTAACTCTTATCTGTTAACTTCAACTTTCTATTTCGAGTTACCACAATTGCTGCATTTTTACACCTGCGAGGTATACTGCAAACATTTTTTTTCAATCCCAAATGTTTTCCAAAATGCATTCCAGAGGACATTTTGATAAAGCAACTAGTCTCAACTGGAGGAATTTATTGATTTTTCTTTCGTGGTTTGCTTCAGTACTCGGTGAAATTTTGGATACGCGATGAAATTTTGTTAAAGAAATCGTAAAAAAATTGAAAAACTCTTACTTAAAAATCAAAATTTACTCTCTTTTTTATGAAAAGTTTTTTTTCCTTATACGTAATAAAGCGAATATGTCTGCTTAAAATTTAATGTATCCGTATGAAGATATAAAACGAAATCCCGGGTTGCAAGTAGTAGAACGTAGTTATAATGTAAAAGTTTTTGGTTGTAAACTTAAATCTGGTAAAAATGATTACTTTATTCTGTTTTATCTATTGTAAGACATCACATGTAAAGAATATTTCCAAGTTTTGATGTTTTATTGCTAAAAATATTTTCCTTGAATCAGTTATAAAAAAATATTTATTTGGTCTAGCTTAAAATTAAAAAAAAGTTTTAAATATCGTATTTTATACAACATACAATTTTAACGCATAATTCTACAAAAAAACCTCTAAAAATAAAAAAAACACTATTTCTTAAGAGGTGAAATTTATACTTGCTTTCTAACTTTATATTTTTTACGTATTTGTAATTTATTTTAAAAGAAAACAAGAGAAAGTAAGAGCAAAAAAACATTGTTCATATTAATCTTGTAAAACTAGCATCTACAATAAATGTTTTAACAAAAAAAAAAAAATGAAATAAAATATATTGAGTACATCGAAGCGATTCCAAAGCATCACTAAAAATTGCTTTACTGCATTTGTTTTCTTAAATTTATAGCGCAGAAAATTAAAACGGGGAAAGAAAAAAAATTAAAAACATAGAAGTGAACATTTAGGAAAAATATTAACCATACATAATTTTCAGTTTTGCTCTTTTACTGTTAAAATATTACGACGGTATGTCAGGAATTACCAAGTACTGTAAATCAAGTCGAATTTAAATTCGAAGAGTAATTAAGAAATATATCATAAGATAACAATTTGATAATATTAAACGAATACGATAATATTAAATAATACATAATTTAATACTGTATAATGATAATATAATATCAAATTTGTCAACTTATGTTACCAAATTTGATCAATAATTTTCCCAAATTATACACGAAGAAACCGAAAATTTTACATGATTTTCTGACATATTCAATCCAATTTTTATAACATTCCATTTATTAAATTATAATTAATATATATATATATATATATATATATTAATTGTGGCCAATCTGAACGCAATTCGTTTTTTTTCTGCTTAGTGAGCATTAAGAAATAATATTTTTTCCTACTTAATATAAGATTCTATAATGTTCGAATTAAAGTTTCATGTAACGTATACGAATTAAAAAATAAAAATAAATAAATAAAGCAATTTTACACCCCAGGCAAAATTTGTTATTCGGGTTCCATAAATCAATAATTTTATCTGTTGCATTTACCATTGACCTTCTTGAAAAAGCTGATATTTACGAATCAGAGACAGGAACAATTGTCTAATTTATTAGTCCAGTTTTTATGCATAAAATACTATAAAATTAATTTAAATTATCCCTATAAAAATATTTTTGCCGTATATTTGTATACACGAAATTTACGACTCGCTGTTAATTTTAAAATTTATTATGTTAATAGTGATAAAATAGAATAAAAATATAATAAAAAAATATACAGTTAAAAAACTAACAGAATGTTATAAACGTTAAATTTTTTAAAAGTTTTTTTTATATTATTAATTTAAGAAGAACACGAGAAAATATTTCGACATTAAAAAATAAATATGAGAACAAACTTACTTTTAAAAAACGAAATATAAAATTTATATTTAATTTATTCCAATAAATATAAAATTTTAAAACCTTACTTCAATAAATAACTTGGAATTTTTCCATAAGTATTTATAAAATATTAAAGTTTATTTATCAATATTTTCCTAATACATTTTTTAACTTTATTTTTATAATTTTTTATAATAATAAATTAATTAATTTTATTTTAATAACGTTTAAAATTAATGATATTTTTCAAATTTATAAATTAATTTTACTCAGAATTTATATTGTATAATAAAAAAAAGACTTTTTTTTTCCTTAAAAAAACAACAACAAAGTTTATAATAAATTTTAAAAATTTTAACTCGTATAATATAATTAAATAAGATATTTTTAGAATTATTAATAGCTTTCGAATTGATAGAATGAAAAATTATACAAGCAAAAACATTATCGATTTAATACGAAGATGTAAGAAGGTAAAGAAAAAAAAGCTGCGCCTCCAATTTATTAGAGTGCGTTAAGATGAGCGATGCGCCGAAGCGACTCGACGCGACGCGAAGCGGTTCAACACAGCTTAAAATATCGTTAAATATCAACGGGATTACGTATTACACTGAATAAAAATTGTAATATAATCGGAATAAAGTAGTCGAGATCTTCCAATCGTCGCGTTGCCGTTATCGATAATATTTTAAGTAAAAATTTAATAATATAGATATATATCTCGTGTATTATCACACGAGAGAACAGGAATTGCTGTGTTTTTCCCCCTCTTTCCTTTACATAAAATATTATCGGAAAACGGAAGCGAAGAATGATTTGTTTTAAAGAAATACTGATCGATGCCAAGAGTGGTTTCAAGAAAACTGTTGATTCCGACAGCAAAAAATGACAAAAAAATTGGATAAGAGTGTACTGCTCTTGTCAGGAAATCTATACATTAATAAAATTTACTTTGCACAATTAAATATAAACCAAACCACAAAAACAATAATTGAGACGTGTAATTCTCTTATTTATTTTTTTAAATAAAACCTTCAACTCTTTTTATTTATAGATTTTATTCTTACAAGATTTAAACTTATTTTACCAAGCTTATCTTCTTAAAAAATATCATATTTAAATGTCTTCTATATATATATTTAAAATTAGAAAATAGAGATTTAAAAATATCCCTAAAATCTCTTACCTTGTATTGTTATTTAGGGATATCTTAGTGCATATAAATATCAGCAAGAGAAAATATTTTCGAACGGAATTCTTAAGAATATTTTTAGAGTACGTGTTTGTTTAGGGAAATTTTTTTTAAGGAGGTTGTGAGGGAAATTGGGGGTAATTTTAACTATATATAAATTGCATTTCTTAATTTAAAAGTTATATAATTTATTTATGTATTTCTTTAAATAATATAAACGAAATAACTGAAAATGTTTTAAGATATATAAATTAATTTTTTTTTAATATATTATATAAGTTTATCAGAAAATTAAAAATATTTATTTTTTAACTTTTTAATTGTGTTGTTTTTGGCTTATTTTATGTTTTGTTTTTTTTCTTAAATTAATAAATTTGTTTATTTTTTAGATTTTTAAAATAACATGAATTCTTAATGATAAGAGTATATTTTGTAAATATTGAAAGGAAAATAATAAAAATTCATTAAAATTATTAAATTTTTGTTGTGTAGACGATAAGAAACGAAGTAGAAGAGAATTTAACGGTATTTTCTTGTAAAGACAATGTATTTATGTTAATATTTAAGAAGAAAATGTGCATACGAAATACCAAGCAACACTTATTCTCACCTGTTTAGCTGCATGTGTACAGGTAGGAGTAGGAACAGTGCGTTTAGTAGAGGTATCATTAGATTTGAACATTAATTTCATTACAATGGAAAAAAAGGGAATAGAATGAAATCAAAATATATTTAAGACTATAGAAATATTAATAATATTCAATCGATAGTCTTTCCTCATCTACACGCAATCGAACAACGTCTGGGCATGCTCGCTGTGACGTCAGGACGAGGAATGGTTTGCCAAATCAGTCAGCTCTCATTCACAATCCTACTCACAGAGCTGTGGGTAGGTGCGTTTGTCGAAGCGCAGACCGTAAAGACGGGGGATGTGCCTTTACTTCTCCCCCGCTAAAAAGAACAGTTTTTCTTTTTTGTTGTTGTTGTGCGGGGTGCCGGAAGGAAGGCGATGTATACTTAACATTAAAGGATAGATAGACGGTGTGGGGATGCGTCGAAGGCATTGAATCTGTCAAGGACGAATTTCGTCTTTCTATTCGAATACGTGTTTTTAGACAATCATCGTTCTCCTCGGAGATGATTGTCTCCGGGATGTAGAACAATAGTATGGCTGCTAAGAACGATTCCGAACAGACTAGCGGGAGTGACAACGGTGCTCGTGCGAAACAGTACGACATGGCTAAATCTCCGGATGTGCTCAGCCCTATCGATGGTAAGTAAGCCTTTCTTCTAACTCTACACATTTTCTATAATATAATCCAGTGCCAATGGATCAGTTGGAAAAATTTTTTACCCGTTGGATTCGGTAGCATTTGATTTTTTTTTCTCTCCTTCAATGTACGGAAAGCGTGAGTAAGAACATGTAATGAAGACGCGAAGAGTACCTGTAGCGCTACGGTATTTCGATTGAAAATTTCCACTGGAAAATCATTAATAATTAATGAAATAATCCGGAAAATTTCGCCAGACGAGAATATTCGTTAATAAAAAGTGGAAAGAATTGTAATTCGTCAATAAAAATAGCACTTGTAAATTAAAAAAAATCTTTAAAAAATTATAGTTAAAAAGTAATTTAACTCTTTAAGATGCTCCAATAATTAAATTATACCTGTTGATTTTCGTTATCATAATATCATTTTTTTTTTATTAGTAATATAAAAAGCGAGACGACGAACTGATTTTAAAGTGTATTTATAGAAGAATTTTACGTTAAAATCTTAAAATAAAACACAAATTCATTAATTACGTATTGTTTTCTTCAAAATATAAAATGTTTTTTTTTTTTTTTTTAAAGAGAAACAAACTGTAAGCATGAAAAGAAGTTACTTACGAAAGACGACTAAGATCAGTTTGATTTATAAATATATTAAGTATGATTAAGCTTCATTGCTTTTGGGTATCCACAATTCCTTGTAGCGTGTGTATTGGGAAAAAAACCAATTATTGTATACGAATAAGAGTTTCCTAGCGATAAATATTTCAAGTGTGTAAATGCACATTACGTCTTTGATGAGTGAATAAAGCGAAATTGGAATATTGGACAGCGGAGCATGTGACACTAAGAGGACATTAACTAGTTTTATAGGGGATATATTTCTTGCGTGTTTTCTACTGCACATAAAAGGACTTCTAGATAAATGCTAAAATTTTTAATATAACTGAACCATTTCTAATGTTAAATTTTTATATTTAATAATGAGAAAACTTACTCTTATGTATGTTACTGTTTAATATAAGAAATTCCTTATATACGTATACATAAAGGGCTTTTATATTCGAAAAGATATAGATTTTTTTTTTTGCTTTATAATAATACGAGCTTACAACATGTGACATAGACATATTGGTTTATGGAGATGCCTGGTAACTAGTGCAGAAATTATTGAAAATGTACTGTACAGAAAAATCGTTGTAGTAACGTTGCGATGTAAACGAGCTGTTTTTTACGATATAATTTAAAGTAAAAAAGCCTAGCTATAATAGATTATATTTCTAAGAACAATTAATCATTTTATATGAATTTCTGAGAAAATTCCAAAAAATTTAATCGTTCTCCAATTTGAAATTGAATAAATGTTTGACTTTTTTTTGAAAAAAAAAAAAAAATGTTTTCTTCGAAAGTAAATTGAATTTAAACTTAAAAATTACACGATGATAAATGGAATATGTCAAATAATATTTGGGAAACGTAAAAAAGGGCATTCGAAGCAAATAGTTTTCCGTAATTTTCGAATAGCTTTTCTCGTTTGTTACTGATGTAACGCTTGTAAGAAATTTAATTATGTACGTATTACGTTACCGTAAATATGCATATTTGTGCTAATTTTATACAACGCACGATGAGTGAAGAATACTTGGCAATGAGTGATAACAACTACCGTAAAATAATCTCTCGAAAAACTCTGCAACAATCTGTATGTTTATAAATAAAAATTTAATAATTTATTCATATACAAAATCGGGAACATATTGAGTTACTCAGCCGAATTTGTTTGACGTATTCACAAATAAGTAAAAATATTTGATTTAAGCTGGACGAAAAAAAATAAATAAAAATCGTAAGCATTTTCTACTACAAAATACACAGATTTGTTATATAAAAAAGTGACAATAAAGTCAATTTTTTTAGTATTCAAAAAATTTTACGAGGAAACTCATAAAAAGTTGGCAGAAGAACAAATTTACTAGAAAGGCGTCTAAATCTATTTTTAGTGAAGACAAAAATCACATTTCTAACCAATCTTCATTAATTTTACCAGAAAAAACAAACGAATTATACACAAATAAACATAAATACGGCATAATCATTCTTGAATCTCATCATTGTATTCCATTACAGATGCCTATTTTTAAAGAGCGATCGAATTTACAATTTGTATTATGTACTGTACTTAAAACACATCAAATAATCGTAAAATTATTGACCTAAATAGATAAAGTTGAATATTATTATAAAAAAAAACAAGTCGAAAATTATTAAAAATAGGGAGTAAAATTTAATTAAAATAATTTTAGGGAAATATCTTTATTAGACCAGCGCGTAATTAGGAGATTATCAATAACAGAAGGCAAATGATCGTGGGCGAAAGGCAACCATTGTCTTATTAATGTTTATAATACAGGCATTATCCATTTTGGACCGAGAATATTAAAATTACACGCAAAGCATGCTAACATGGTTATATGAGGTTTAATGAAATCGATATACTAGACACATATAATCGATGTCTAGCGTGTCACATGATCAATTGAGTAACTATCGATCATTTAGTACGGAAATAGTATATATCCAACATATAATGTTAGTCGATACTTCCATATTTGAATATGTTAATAGAGATTTAAGCAGTAATCACATGAAACAGCTGTTTTGTGTCTTACTCGGTAGGATTATGCCGAGTTAATTTTATTATTTTTGTATTAAATTTATTTTAAAATGAAACCATGCCATATACGATATAAATCGTAGGATAAAATTTATGGGAGTTGCGGAATTTGCTAGGATTTCAGTTTAAATGAAATTGTTTCGGTTGAAGAATACTTAGCAAAACTGTGAAAAACTATATATACTGTAATCAATTAACATTAATCTAATAAAGTAAGTTATATCATTATTAATGATCAATATTATGTTAAATATTAATAATTTATTTTTTGATTATTTAGAAAGATCTATATTAAACTGTTCTGCTAAACTATACCCCATTTTTTCAATTGTAAACGATTTAAATCCATTTATGCCAATGAAAACGATGGTTAAAAATCATATTGGAGTTGGAGAATTTTTGAAAATTGAGCCGAATAATTAATCCGTAACCTTCAAAAATAGAACAAGTCGCTCATTAACACTTGTAAGTGATTACATGTTTCTTAGAACTTTCAGATTTCAGTTAATTTAAACCCCGGAGAGCTAAAATTCGATTAATTTTCCTCGCACGCAGATTCTAAACCACAAATAACAACTTCGTTATTAAATGATTATCTGTGATAATTAGATTATCTCGTGATTATCACAGGAGATATTAGACTTATAATATTTTTTAAAAAATCATCAATTATTGAAATACCCAAAGTAGAAAGACAGAAAAGGCAGAAACAATATCTAACGTACATCCTTTGCATTGCGTGATTGATACATCTCATGACATCTGCGGGATGTATATCAATCGTAAACCAGAAATAGCTAGCTGATTTTTTAATCAGTAATTTATTCGTACAGAAGGCCAAAGAATGTTTTAAAATTTCTTATTTTAACAGAAAATATGAATTTTTTATGAATTCTCTAATCTGATTTTATTGGGTACGATAATATATAAACGGACATATGGGATTTCCTGTTCGATTATTATGATTGAAAAGATAATTTAATGTAGCTAAAAACGTATATAACCGTAGCGTATACACGTTAGTCCGACTTTAATTATTTATTACAATTTAATAAAATATTAAAATTAGTTTTAATGAGTTTAAAATACTCTGTAAACTTGGAGTTTTCATAAATTTTCAATATGAAAATTGTACTTAATTTACTGTAATTAAATTAATCAAAAATTCTAGAAGCTCCACCGAAAAGTTTACTTCAAACTCCACCCTAAATATAACTATTAAAGTTAAGATGCGGCTCCACCCAAAATATACCAAGATTCCTTCGAGCATCTTTCCCATTTCAAAGGCGAAAATTATCTTAATTATAAAGATCGCTCCGCCCGAAATCGATAGTTTAACTTTAAAACACGTTCAGACTTTACAGAGTTTATAAAATAAGTAAAAGAAAGTGTTTAGAATATAAACAGATCTTTCGAATTTAAAAAAGAAAATTACATTTGTTTAAAATCATAAATGCCTAAGAGATAAAAGAAACGTTTTTAGTAAAAAAAAAGTATAAGAATAAACTCTAAAAATATTGCATTGTATAAGAGAATGTTTGGAGAAAAATATATAATTTATTTTCAGTAAAACGGATTTACTTATATTAAAATAGTTATAAAGTTTTTTCGGAAAAAACTCCGAATCTTTTTACGCTCGAATACGTAATATGATAAAATCGACGAATAAAGAAAACTTATGAATAAAAATCGGATTCGTCGTTTATCTCGAGTTTGAGCAATGCCTGATATTTGCATGTAAATAAATTTTGTTGTAAAAATAGCGCGGGTCAGCTTTATTAAAAATTAATATAAAAATTCGATTGGTAAAATTTACATTAAAAAAAAGGGCGGCCATCTTTGTTAATTGCTCGTATCTTTCTGGCCGCGAACTTAAATTTATTGCGCTTTTACAGACGGCAATTCCTGCTTCACACGTTGCTGAATCGTTCTTATGAGAGAAAGTTTCCTATATAATAGGCTAAGAAGAAAATTCTTCCATTATATATTATGGATAATTGCCTACTTTGTGAAACAGAATCGTTCGCACTGCCAAACAAAATGACTTATATCGTTAAGATACGAAGCGGAATTGCATTTTCACATTATTTATTAATTTTCATAAATGTATTTAATAATAATAAAATTTTATTTCCATATATTTTCCCCCGAATTATTGTTTGGTTTACGGAAGTAAAGCAGAAGTTTTTTTTCTCCCACTAAAGTGAGGGGGAGGGAGTTAATATGTGGTTGTGAAGGAAAACTTTGGCAGAGGATAAGAATTTCGAGGGAGTGTTCAGAAATTATTCACCTTTTGCCAGTATTTAGAAAGGTTGAAAGCTAAATG